ATCTATCTATCTATCTATCTATCTATCTATCTATCTATCTATCTATCTATCTAAGATTTGTTGTTCTGCTTGGGCACAGCTAGTGATTTGAAGGTGGATCCCATCTGATTTCATTGTCAGGAGCAGAACACTTCCTGGTCAGTTATAGACTAATGGCCAGGTGGAGGCCTAGTTAAAATGGTTCAACCTAATATTAAGCTAAGATGTTAATGTAATGTTGAATTATATACCAAAGCTTTGGAATTTGACTGTTTATCAGGAATTGTGGTTGTATCGAGGATGGGGTGGCGGGGTGGCAAAAAGAATTATAGTAAGAAATTAGAAAAGCGATATTATTCCAGATGTCAAGGAATGCTTGTTGGAAATGTGTGATCTATCTATTTTGGGAAATGCAATATTTTCTACCAATCAAAGAATGCATCAATATGTGTAGTTATGGCAGAGATTTTGTGATATCTTACAACTATATCTTGTATTGTTTATATTATGGTAGTGAATTAATTGGTAAGCCAGTGACTATTGATACTTATAAAATATAAGATAGATTTTTTTCCTTCTTAGCTTGTATCTTTAGTTTGTATTTTTTAAATTTTTTAAAGTTTCTTTTTTTGTAAGATTAAAGTTTGTTTTGTTACAAAAAAATAAAGATATTAAATAAAAATTCAAAATAAAATAATATGGTTCAACCTAGCAGAAACACAAAGAGCATATAAGTGTTTGCTTCCATTGTGTTCACAGAGGACAGATTGGTGTTGCTTTTCTGCACTGCGTACATCTCCTCTACCTGTTGGGGGGGGGGGGAGTCCAAAGGATTGGTGGCTCACTGAAGAAGTATGCATAATCTTTGCCAGTGAAGTGAATCAAACCTGTCTGAACATGGACTCCAGTGTAACACCTGATCATAGAAATTTATTTTGGCAACAGAGTGTCATGTTATTTTGGCTTCAAAGTCTCAAAGATGTGGACAGAATAATTCAGCCAGCTTAAGGGAGATGAACAGTGCTTCATTCCAAGAGAGATGTGTTGGCTCCCTAGCCCAAAAAAGGTAGTCGTAAGACCTTTGCTGAAGACCCAGCAAACATGTAAAATTAGATTTCATTTCTGAAAAAAATAATTACCAAAAATGCAATAGCCTCAAGAACTCCAGGTGCATCTGAATTATGTGATTATCTGGACCCATTTCCCTTGGGATTTCAGCTGGGGTATGGTATTGAAACTGCTTTGATTGCCTTGATGAATGACCTAATCAAAAAACTGTGAAGTGGCCCTGCCAGTTCTCCAGGCAGCTTCTGATATCATTGATGACGTTATCTTTCTGGACTACTCAATAGTCTTATCAAGAAGTGATCTTTTGAATAAGAAATTGGGGCCAGGATGTTAGATAAGCTTGTCCTGAGAGGTGTAGGATCTGTTGGTGTGCCCCAACTGTGCATCTAGTCACTATGGTTTTTGTCTTCTTGTTGTTAGTTTTGTGAGAAAAATATATCTTTGGGTGAATCTTTGGGTGAAAGGAGCAAATTTTAGAGCCCTCAGATGAATGGGATCGCCTTAATAATTGAAACATAAAGGAATGTGCAGCACCCTTGAAGCTGGTATGAACTAGGCTGATTGTGAACCCCTTATTCCAAACATCCCCATAGCAACATAAGGGAGGATGTCTTTTCCTGGCAGTTGGCACCTTAAACAATTTGTTTCTTCCCCTC